AATATACACATTATGGATTAATCTGTTATTGACAATAAAGAACACACACAAAAAATCTAGATCATGCCTAGATAACTTTAGGGTTCTACTGCACTATACTTCAAAAATATATTCTTTTGAAAGACTTCGTTCCTTATGGCAAGAAAAGGGTTAACAAATCACTGACTGTAAGTGTGAGGTCTAGGTACCAACTCTGCCTCTCACTGCTTTCCTTGTACAAATTCATTTTGTTTCTTTAGACCCCAGTTTCCTCAAAAATAAAATAAAAATAAAACGAGAGGGCCTGTATGAAGTTAACAGTAAGGTATCCAAGTGTTATGTTTCATACCTGATGAGCTCGACAAATCAAGTCTAAATCATGACGATTCAGAAATTTACTGACTACATCAGCTCCAAAAGTGAAGGAAACACCACGATCATTTTCTCCCCAACCCTGCACATCCTTATCTGGGTCAGACCACAGCAAATCACAAAGCAAACCTGTAGGGAACATAAAAACAGCAATTAAAAACAGCAAAACAAAACAAAATGTGTATAATAAAGCATATCTACATTCCACTTTACTTCTGCTGCTCTCTTACCCTTTAACCCAACAACAACAATAATAATAATCACTTGCTTCCAAGTATCCCAACTTATCTGTCTTACCCATTCTTTGTTAAAGCAACTGTACAAATATGATCTTGCCTGGCCTCTTAAGGCAGTATTTTTAAATGCTTTCTCATATAACATATGGATGGCATGCTCTTAGCACAACATGTGGAAATCTTTTGTATATTGTTTCTCCATCTAAATAGCTAATTGATCCAGTACCACTTCCTTTTTTTTTTTGGTACCAGGGATCAAACTCTGGTCCTTGCACTTGCGCAGCAGGCAACGAAACCACTGAGCTAAATCCCCAGCCCATCCACTTCCTAAGTAGTTAATCCTGTCCTTCCTTCCAGAGTCACACTGTTTCTGAACATCACAGTCTATCCTATTCATCCTTCAGCCATTAACATACTAGAGTTTTTAAATAAGTCTTTATATTTGGTAGGGCTAGTATCCCCCACTTAATTCCTCTTCTGGGTGTCTTGGTTACTTTGGATCCTTTGTTCTTCCACATAAACTTCAGAATCAGCTTGTCTAAGGTTCATGAAAAACTCAATTGCTATTCCACTGGAATTGCATTTGATCTACAGTTCAATCTGAGGAAAGAAACATTTTCTGGAAGATTAAAAAAATGGGGGGGGGGCAAAATTGGATTAAATCCTTGATTTTAGTAAGGTCTGGGGCCTAGGAAAAGAAGTCAGGACTAGATTGATACCTTCATCATATTAATAGAAGAAATCTCAGGAAGGATTTCAGAAGTACCCCATGAATATAAAGACCAGTAAATAAGCTCTAAAAAGCCCATCTTTAATAGGCAGGCAGAAGAGAATGAGAAAAAATTACTGAGATTACTGAGGAACATTCAAATCAATGGGAAGAGATTAGCATAATAATGATATTGTGAAAGGGGAAAGAACTGTCAACACATAGGAAGTAACAAAGTTTCAAGCACCCAAAACAAGTGGAGTAGAACAAAGAAAGACACTTTATGACACTTTAATATGACACTTTTAATATAACACTTTTAATATGACACTTTAAGCAATGAGACCTTAACAAAAGCAAAGTCTTTTTTTTGTTTTGGTACCAGGGATCGAAACTCTGGACCTTGAGCTTTGGGACCTTGGGCTTTGGAGGCAGCAGAACCACTGAGCTAAATCCCCAGCCCAACAAAAGCAAATTCTTGATGGTTAAAAGTGAGCAGGTAGGGCCAGGGATTTAGCTCAGTGTGAGTTCCATCCCCAGTGCCAAAACAAACAAGCAAACAAAAAAACCCAGTGTGTAGGTATATATTAAACTGTGTTGAGATGGGAGGGGGTGCTGAGATAGTGATACTAAGTAAATCCCAAGAACTATGGTGGCTAAAGAAAATATGTTTTACAGAATAATTCAGGTTTAAGATTTTTTTAAAAAAGAATTCATCAACATAGTTTAGGAGGAAAGGAGATTTTAATTTTCAGTTACAATGTAAGCTTATATCTTGATAGAAGAACTACTCAAAATTCTCCAGACAATTAGCATGTCCCCTTAATTTCTATCATTGATATTTCCTAACTTCTCACTATGCTGTTTTAAGAAACTTATCAGCACATACAAAATCCACTGGGACACTCTCAATTCATAAGCCTTTCTGGCTGAAGAGGACTCAATTACACACCCAGTGATCTACAATGTTTATACTTTCCAGTTTATTTTCAAAGATGAAGCACTGAGCAGAAATCCCAGGGATTAATTATAATTCCAGTGTGACAATAAAACTATGTCACATTAGAATGCAGGGTATAACATTTGGGAAATATGATAGTTTGGATAGATTAAAACCCAAGTAATGGCAGCTGTGAACAGTTGAATTCTTCAACCTTTATGGAGCAAAGAATTTCAAAGTCAAGATTCAATGTTTAATGACAACAGATTAGGCTACCATTTGGGGGGCTGGGGGGGGGGGTGCGGGGCCACGTTGGTACCAGAGATCGAACTCGGGACCCTGCGCTCGCAAGGCAGGTGGCAGAACCACTCAGAACCACTGAGCTAAATCCCTGGGCCCTAGGCTACCATTTTTAAAGAATTTACAAATTATATTTCTGAAAGCTGCACAGAACAAAGATCAATAACTATTTTCTGGCATCTCAGAAACTTTCTATTAAAATGCTGAAAACAGAAACCTAGTATGTCACCTCAAAACTGATTTACATCTGAATTATATATAAATAAATTTACATATTAATATAAAACCATATACAAAAATTATATAAATGTATATCACCTTTTAAAAATGTGACTTTATACTAATTTCTATTAGGTTTAAACATACTTAATAATTATAATCAAAATCTATGGCAAAACTCTTCCTTTTTCCTCTTGTATAATCGGCATAAATTATGTTACTTAAGTTGTAAAGCAATTTATTACAACATGCAAGTTTGAGAGGGCTGCCATCAAGGGATTAAACAACTACAGTATATGTAGTCATGAACAGCACTGAGAATGCTATCATCAGGCTCTCAGTATACTGAGCAAAACATTTCAATAACACTTGGAAATAAGCAACCAAATACATGTTCTGAGCCCAATTTTGAGTTTCAGTCCTATTTTCCTCCGATACTGGTCCACAAACATTATTAAATGTTTATCAGGGGCCAGGGATTTAGCTCAGTGGTTTCGCTGCCTGCTGCGCAAGGGCAAGGACCGGAGTTCGATCCTCAGTACCAAAAAAAAAAAATGTTTATCAGAATTTTAATCTTAAGAATGGAAAATGAACTTAGTGACTACCCAGACTAATACTTGTTTGATCAGTAACTGATCTCCAGCAACAGAAAGGGAGCATTGTCTTGCCAGTAAGTTACAGGGCCTTTTTTTCATATCTAGTATATTCCTACAGACGCTCCGACACCCCATCCCCATACTACGTCAAGGTCGGCAAGCAGCTGCTGCGAGTCTCTATATTACCTCAGACAATTCCTAGTATGAATATATTCAAATTTCCTCAGCACCAACAAATATTACATATAAAGGGTGGCTCTGATGACACACATGGACAATTTAATACAATAAATGAATTTTATTTTAAAAAGTCTTGGCTGGGTGTACTGGTGCATGCCTGTAATCCCAGCAATTGGGAGGATGAGGCAGAAAGATCATTGTGAGTTTGAGGCCAGGCTGGGCTACACAGTGAGTTCAAGGTCAGCTTGACTTACATAGGGAGACCCTGTCTACAAAACAAAACACAAAGTCTTTTGCAGAAACGGTAAGGACAGTTTTATTTATGTCAATGGTTTTAATAATGTGAAGGTATGACATAATAAAAATGTATTTTGTCTTTGTTCCTATTTTGTCCTGGTACACCCTTGCAATTTCCTCAAAGACAAGAGTGTCTTCTGTTATTTGTAACAAGTCCCTTTCTACCACATCTGGCTCTATGGTAATAAGAGTGATTCACACTGGGATTTCTAGAAAGCTTCAGGATGGATACTGGTCACCAGAGACATTAAACATGCCAGAGTTTTATAAAAAAAAAGACTTTTGAACACTGAGAATTAGGGAGCCTCCAGCTTGGTGAACAAGCTTATGTTCTGGGAAGGAAGCATGCCCACAGAAGGGTATAGAAGCTCTGAGTTAGCTGCTCAGTACCTTCCCAGGTCTATCTCTTCTATTTAACTGTTCCTGAGTTCTACAAGTAAATGTAAGTTATTAAAGGAAGGGACTGTGGAGATTTCTGAATTCACAGCTTAGAAGTATGGGTCACCTGCGGATGGCACTTGCAGCTGGCATCTGAAGTGGGAGCAGTCTTGTGGATTGAGCCCTTTGACTGTGAAGTCTGCGCTAAGTCTGGGAGCCAGCATCAGAACTGAACTAGATACCCAGGTGGTACTGGAGAACTGGCTGTGGTTTGGAAAAATCACATACATCTCGTGTCAGAAACCACACAAGAAGGTATTAATGCTTTGTGAATACTAAGGAAAGCAACTTAACTATACTGAATCCAGTCCCTCTTCGTGGAATTTTATATGAATGCCATGATTAGATACCTTAGTACCTACATGGTATTCAAATAACAACATTTTAAACAGAAAAGTTAGGCTAAGTGGTAATGGTGTCTATCATTTATTTGTAAAGTTACTTAATACCGCATTTTATCCTCAACTGGTTTTTTCTCTACTTGCTTCACTTTTGTTGACTTACTAACCTAAGAGTTGTTCTTAATGTCTGGAAACTCAATTCACACAATTTTTTCACAAAATTCCACACACAATTTTTGTAAAATTAACCACAAGTCTCTAGAGCCTTGAGTTTAAAAATTTGAAATATAGATGACACAGAAAATAAAAAACGATGTAACTTAAAAGAAAGCAGCTGAGTGGGAGGGAAGGAAAATAAGTTATTTAATTTAAAATCTCTTGACTAACTTAACAGGTTTCTGAAGGACATAGCAAATGCCAGTATGAATGAGGAAATTTACAAAGGAAGGTAAGGGGAATCCATAGTAAGATGTTTTTGTGTATGTGATAAAATAAGTTTTGACAGAATCACATCATGGTTATATAAAATTTAAAAGTTCTATAGTTTAGGGAATGATTAGAAGAAAAATATTCTGTACTATTGCAAATAATTTGTAGTTATCTTATTGAACATAAAAAAGAGGTTTATTTAGTAAACCAATCCTACTTCCACTAAAGGTTCAAATATGCCAACATTTTACACAAAACAATTAAACTTCTCTATACACTTGCCTGTGTCAGGGACGTCAGTGGGTCTCATAATTCTCCGAATCTGCTCCATAGATTGCAGGTCTGGTGACAGTCCTATAAGTAAAAACAGGGGATGTAGTCCTGATAGTTGACAAAACGTTGCAATTATGTTGTCTTCTCTATTTTCAAGAAAATAGAAAACATACTTCTGTTCTATTTCAAAAGATTTCCCAAAGACAGACCCCTATGATGCTCTTTCCCAGTCTTCCCTGCCCTTCATATAAACATAGCGTATTCAATTACAACCCTTCCTACTACTTTTGCTATTTTGTTACCACTTCAAATAAAACATTTTACTTCTAAAATGTCTGTTGGTCCCCTTCTAAATATATTTTTTCACAGCATGCTCATTACTTCATGAAGGCATTAAACTGTTGATAAACAAGAAAAAGAACATGAATATACCTGAGAACATTTAAAGTGGTACATACATATGAGCCACTACTCTCTGGCAGCTAATCCAAGTATCATAAAGAATACAGCTGAACATTCATATTCCATACTTTCTATTTCTATTCTTAGCTATACTAATGTGCAAGAACCACAACTCCTTAAATGTTTAATATCTACTGGAGAATATGTTTCAATTAATACATTGAATTATGTCCTACTGGAGAATAAACTACTTATTACCTCTGGCCTAATTAAGTGCATCTAGCTTTTCAGTGTTTTTTCACTTTAATTCTCTCCATTTATTAATGAAAAAAGTAATTTTCTTATATTACTTTCATTAAATTACTTCCCCACACAAAAATCCAACATGGTTATTATAACATTTAATAAAGCCTTCTTGATCAAATTTCTATAATCTGATCTCACCATTCCCCAATATGTACTTGATAGTCTAGTTCAGTTGCATCAGTCCTCACATACTCTCTAGAGAATTTACATATGGTCTCATGTCCTTTTAATTTCTCTGAAGTCCACTTATCCCTTAAAATTCATGCCTCCAACAGCACTCAAGCTGAGGCAGGAGGATTGCCACAAGTTCAAGGACAGCCCACGCTACATAGCGTAGTGAGACCTTGTCTCCAACCTACCCCTCAAAACCAAAACCAAAAAAACCCCCAAACAATTCATGCCTCCATAAACATACCCAACAATTCTCTCTTTCCTGACTTTTCATAATTGCTATCTCTACAAGTACCACCATAACTAAATCATAACTAAATTTTATTACTCAGTATTTGCTATTTACTTACATCCATCCATTTATTCATTCATTCATTTGAGACAGCTGGCCATGAACTCATAGTAATCCTCCCGTCTCAGCTTTTCAAGTGCTGGGATTACAGGTGTGTGCCATTAAACCCAACAGCTACATAAATATATTTTCTTTTTATTTTGGTACCCGGGATCAAACTCAGGACCTTGCATTTGCCAGGCAGGTACAGTGCCAGTGAGCTACATCCCTGGCCTATAAATGTACCAAAAGGCTTTTAAATGCTTCAAGATCATCAGATCATATACTACATGCTGTCATGGCATCTAGCCAAGTGCTAGACACATGTTAATTTTTCAAATACATTTTATATACTTATGCTCATTTCACAAGTCATATAAAATAACCTGCCATTCTACAAAATTTTTGAGACAGGGTCTCACTATGTAGTTCAGGTTAGTATTGAACTAGTGATCCTCCTGTATCAACCGACAGAGTGCTAGGACTACAGGTGTGCACCACTACGTCTGGCTACAAAAATTATTTTTAAGACTAAAGCTGACATACTGTACAAAGCCCAGAGTTCTTAAAATATACACAAACTCAATTACATTTAAATTCTGATGAAAGGATATTTAATACAGATAAGAAAACGATGATCTTGTCATTTTTACTGACAGCTGGAGTATCTTTCTGTCAAAATTTAAGGCACGGGCTACAGATGCAGCTGAGTGGTAGAGTGTGCTTGCCTACTATGTGTGAGAGGCCTGGGTCTGATCCCTAGCATTGTAAAACCAAAAACAAAAGGAAACCAAACAGAGACAAAGGGAAGATGTTAAAGCTCTACCTATTACATGAGAAATCCTCCAAAGACAATGTCCAATTGCCATTGTTTCCCAAGAGTATCTGAGTTACAGGGTTTGTCAGGTGTGGTGGTGCATGGCTATAGCCCAGGCCTTGGGAGGCTCAGGCAAGAGAATTGCCTCAAGTTTGAGACCAACCTGGACTACACAGTGAGTTCAAGGCAAGCCTGAACTACACAGTGAAACCTTGTCTCATTAAAAAAAAAAAAAAAAAAAAATTTTTTTAAATTATAGGTCTTTTGTGGGTAATGGAAAAACAGTAAGAAAAACTCATAAGGCAAATTTATTATTCTACCTCCATGACAACAGAAGATCTTCTCATCCACAATGGCAGCTATAGGCAGACAGTTAAAACAATCAGTGAAGGTCTTCCACAATTTAATATTAAATCTTCGTTTGCCTATAAAAAGAACATGCAGATAATATTTTAAAATGTTAAATTATTCTCATTAGTTATTTCAAAACCACAGGATTATGAATTATTTCAACTTTCTTTTGTATACTTAACTAGCATTTTTGTTTTCTGTAAGTCCATTAAGTTATAAAAATATATCGTATGGACTGAGAATGTTCTCAGTGGTAAAACACTTGCTTAGCATGTGGGCTTAAGCCTCAACACCACAAAAAAGTTCTATTAAAAAAGTGCTGGGCACGGTGGCACACACTTGTAATCCCAGCACTCAAAAAGGCTGAGGCAGGAGGATCACTATGAGTTCGAGGCCAGCTTGGACTACATAGTGAGGACCTTGTCTCAAAAAACCAAGAAAAGGTAATAAGCATTCAGCACCTTCAGTAAAGTTACAGACTTCAAAGACTGTGGTACGTGTTTTATGCAACAAATACATCAGACAATTTTGTCTTTTAAGATCACTATAATAAAAGCAATTCTGAAACAGTCTAATAAGCTATTGGTTATTTTTCCTTTAACATGTACACTAAATACTTTGCCAAATACATGAGTAGAAATGAAAGGTGTACCTTTGGAGACTGTCCTTTTTAACTCTAATGCATCAAGTAATACACTCTAAACATACTGCCAAGATTCACTTTTGAGTGATTTACAACTTTGCTGTATAGCAAGTAAAAAGGCACAAAGGCTGTAATTTTCTTGTAGCCTAGCTTAAATAGCTACAACAAAGACAACCTGAAGTGCATGTTAACCTTTAGATTTGGTTACTAGATTTTCCTGATTTGGCTTTAAGCTCAACTTTATTAAGCCAGGGAAAAGATGAAAGATATAAGTACTAATTTTCTATGCTTTCATGCCACAGCTTGCCTCTTAATGACTAAGTACAATTCAAAGCACTGTTTATAAGCTGCTCTCTCATGCACTATTCCAGCTGATGTCATTTCTATATTTAAGAATATTCATACCTCTATTTTCAGCCTTTAAGAATATACTGTACCTATACTCTGATGTACTTTTAGGAAGATGGTTATAGTTTCATGTACTCCAATCTACGTTTTCTCTACAGGTCTCATTTAAACAATTCTAACTATATACTATATCACAGCAGGGAGGGATAGGGAAATAAAACAACAGTTAGGATGTGTTATGTACATGTATTAATCCCCCAGATAAATGTAATCATTATGTACTGCCAACACTAATAAAAAAAATTTAAAAAGCAAAAAAATACAACTAAATATACAATAATTCCCATTAGAACATAAGTTCCATAAGAGATCACCTGTCTTGAGTACTCCACATTCCTAGTGTTCAGAAGTGATTGGCATATATACCACAGCTTCAAACATTTTTCAAAAAATTGTTTGAAGAGATACGAGTTTGACTAACACTCTAACATATGTAAAGATGGAAAAAACAGAAGTAGATTCTAATGGGGAATTCCGTAGTAAAAAAAAGAGAAAGTTCAATTAGAAAATCACCGCAATTGATTCTAAACTGTAAACAACAGAAGAAGCTTACTCCCATATGGGATCTAACAAAACTCGAAGACCAGTTGAAATGTGGTACGGTAATTTGATAAACTGACTTTTAAATAATCTTAGTAGAAAACCAGAAGCCAATCTACAGTGATCTCTGTTTCACTCAGATATTTTTACTAGGCAAACTAATTAAAACACGGGTCTTCAATGTGGTTTTTCAATAAAACAGAGTACTATTCAGCCATAAAGAATGAGAAACTAGAAACATTTATAGCTAAATGGATGGACCTTGAGGCCATACTCTTAAGTGAAATAAATAGGACACACATGTGTAAATACCGAATAGTTTCTCTAGTGTGAGAAACTGAAAGTGTAAATAAGGATCAAAATGTATAACAGATAATTTGAAATAGGAAGAAAAGGTCCAAAGGAGAAGAGGAAGTCGGAAGGGCAGAGGAAAGGGATAAATATGAGAAAAGGAAAACAACAAAACAAAACAAAACACCACGGCTCTTCAGCCAAAAAAGTTGCAGTCAATTTGAGACAAGACCAAGGAGATCCCAAGAAGCCAATTAATAACGTGTTTCCCACTTTCAGGTTCCTCTTCCTGGGCCTCTGCCTAGGGATCATACAGTGGACCCTAAAGTTATGACTGGCCTGACATACGAACACCCTGGGTTGTGACTGGAATTTTAGTTTTAACTTACAACCAAAGTATTGAGTTACGACCCAAATGTTGGTCACTTGTGCTTCTAGATGGTCTCAGATACAGATTTTACCCTTACAGAATTCTGGAAGGAACAATACAACATCCTTTCCTGTGTGGCCGTAAGTGAGAAATCCTGGGCCAATGTCTAAGGTCACTGAGATCTGCCTGTATACAGGAGAGACTCTGAAGGCTGTGTAGAGGAGCCTGAGCCTTCAACTGACCAACCTGAGCTGCAACCAGCCCTCGAGAACAAACTGAGTGTGTAAGTCAAAGATCCACTGCATTTTTTTAAAAATTCAGAATGAAAAGGACTCCTTTGAATTAGAAAATCATGAGGAAACTTTTTTTTTTATGTTTTCATCAATTACTTTTCAAAGTTTTTATTTTCACTTACATTCATCATAGAATCCATAAATGCGATTGATGCTAGCACATTCATGGTTTCCTCTTAAGAGAAAGAAGTTTTCTGGGTATTTGATTTTATAAGCCAATAGCAAACAAATGGTTTCCAAAGACTGCTTTCCTCTGTCCACATAATCTCCTAAGAAAAGATAGTTGGCTTCTGGTGGGAAACCTCCATATTCAAATAATCTCAGCAAATCTGTGTATTGTCCATGAATATCTCCTAAAAACAGAAAAAGTCAGTTTAGAAAAATCACTTACTGTTGTGAGCAACTTCTATGAAACGGCTCCTAATGCCTATAGCATTACACAACGCCCTCCCCATAAGTGTAGGCTATACCTCGTACTTTCTTCTAACAAATCAGATACAATGAAAGGGAGATGGGTTCTAACTTCCAAAATTAGGCTTTAAGATTGTGACTTTTGTTTTGCTTGCATCCTCACACCTTCTTCCATGGCTGGTGATGGTACTAGCTGCCTTACAAAGAAGCCCATGGAGCAAAGAACTAAGAGAGGCCCCTGGCCAAGAGTTCATTTGGAACCAGGGCCCTCAATCCATCAGGCTGTAAGGAACTGAACTCATCACTGAGCCTTCAGATGATTGCGGCCCCACTTCAAACCTTGACTGGAGCTTTGTGAGGACCCCGAAGCAAAGCTGTGCCCACATTCTAGACATAAAGAAACTGTGAATGGCAAATTAACGTTGTTAAGCTCAGAAGTTTTGGGCAATTTTTAAATACAATAACAGTAACTAATACAGTTAGTCTTACGGTAGTTCATCTTAGGTTATATTCTATTCTGCCAAAAAGCAAGAAATAAGAAATATGTATATAAGTAACTTTTGCTACCATCAAATTATTTCTATACAACATTTAAAAGAATACTTATTGTTTGTTTAGGGTTTTTTTGGTACCGGGGATCGAACTTGGGTCCTTGCAAAGAATACTTCTTTTTTAAGAGTACAGATGGTACTCTAACTTAAAATGGCTGGACTTAGAATTTTTAACTTTATGATTATGAAAAAGCAAAACATGCAATAAGTAGAAACCGTACTCTGAATTTTTATCTTTTCTTGCACTATCAATATGTACTACAATACCTCTTTGAGATACTGGGCATTAGCAGCAGCAAGCTGCAGCTCCCAGTTAGCCACACAACGATTGATGGTAAATGAGTGATAACAGTGTACTGTGCTGTTAAGCTATCCTTCTGGTAGGTTAGGTGAATTATGTTTAAAATTATGGTATTTTTAATTTATGATGGGAATATTGGGACATAATCCCATTGTAAGGAGCATCTGCACTTCAATTTTAAGGTCATCCATCCAAATCAATACATCTGCTTCATTTAAATTCATAAAAGGGAGTGACCATTTACAGAAAATTCTAAATGACTGTCTCTTAAAGGCAATATTATATGGTAAATTACTTAGCAGGCAACAAATCCTAATCCATTCAACAAACATTATTTATCTCTTAATTGCTCAGTACTGTACAAAAGAGCACCAAATACCTGACTTAATAAACCACAAACAGAATAAAAAGTACTTAAGATTACATTAAGCACTTAAAAAAAATTTACATAGTGTGAACGCAGACCACCAGGAAATATCCAGGAGAAAGAATTTCTGCATTATTTAACCAAAGGCCAGGATGATATATTACATTTTTTCTTTTTTTTTTTTGATACCGGGGACCAAACTCGGGACCTTGTGCTTGACAGGCAGGTGGTGGAACCACCGAGCTAAATCCTCAGCCCTACATTAATTTTTTCTTGTTACAACAATGAAATGATCACTTAATTTAAGGCCATAAATTTTTAAGTATGGTCAAAATCCATTTTAAGACTTAAATACAAACAATCACAACAAAGTAAGAAGACCTTAGATATTGTCATGCTGACCCTAAAAATTCTGTATGTTTTTTCTAAGCAGTGCACTGGAATCTTCATTTCCCCATATTCTTAAAGACACTAAATATCAATCTCTGGCTCTTTTGTAATTTGATTAGTTAGAATTTTGATTTTATTTATGGAGCTGAGGCCCTTGAATGTATTTTAATTTCTTCTAAGAACTACCTCTTCCTATTTTTTTGTTCTTGTTGTATTGTCATTTTCTTATTTCTAAGAATTCTTTATTAATGAACAGCAATCTTTTTATATGTTGAAATCTTTTATATGTTGAAAAGACTATACCAAGTCTTTTCTTTTTTTTTTTTTTGAGGCAGGGTCTTGCTATGTAGTTCAGGCTGGCCTTGAACTCACAGCAATCCTCCTGCCTCAGCCTCCCAAGTGCTGGGATTACAGGTGTGCACCACCACACCCGGCAGTACTTTCTTTTTAATCATTTTTATAAGTTTCAAATTTTATACAATAAAACCTACCAATGTACCATTACACAAAATTTAAAAAAAAATTTTCCTCATATCATTATTCTCATTATAAATATGGGAAGAAAAACACGATTCAAAAGAACCGTTTCCAACATTACCCGTTTACCTACCACAAATTTTCAGTGGTGCCTCCAATTCCAAAAGAATAGGCTGGCTGAGAAAGATCTCACGAGACTTGATACATAAACCCCGAACTTCTGCTTCAGTCATCTGCACAATTTTTCCTGGACGACATCCTCGTACTGATAAACAACAAATAAAATGGTCAGTTTTCTAAACTTTACCAGTAAAATAATAATCTTTTGAAAAGTTCATGTCCATATGTTGAAGGTCAGAAAAGTCAAACAGGTTGCAAACTACCTAATTGAATCCAATGGCTAATAATAGTAAGGTATTCTATGTCTTTGGCCTCTATTTCCAGTGTTGCTGGTTTCTGATGACACTCCTCAAGTCTGCTACCACTGAAATGCTGCCACTGAAAATTTGCTCTGTAGGGGCCAATTTGAGGCCTACCAGCCCAAGAGACCCAGGCAGTTTCAGGGACAGCACCCTTGAGCGTCTGGCGTACTCTCCCATCAAAACAATTCTTTTATCTAGTAGGAAAGTAGAATGGCATCACTAAGAATCAATGGTTATAAAAAGCAACTGGGCACAGTAGTGCACACCTGTAAACCCAGCACGATGGGAGGCCAAGGCAGAAGGACTGCAGTTCCAGCCCAGACTGGGTAACTTAGTGGGCCCTGTGTCAAAACAAACCACACAAACAAACAAACAAACTGGCTTCAGTGTGAAGACCCTGGTTTCAATCCCCAGTGTGTGTAGGATTAAAAAGTAGTTGCCAGTTAAGTATTTTGGCTTTGTACTCTTTCCTGGAATTTTATCAGCATCTCCAGGAACTTTAGCAACAACCACCTCCATTTGCTGATTTAAAACACATATACATGTAACTTGTCATCATTTCCTTTCATCATTATCTCCACTGGTTCATTCCATTTAACCTTTATACTTTTAAGATCTAAATCCTAACTGAAAAGGCATTCAAAAAGAAAACAGACTGCCTCTCTATATACCCCTACTACTTTCCATTTATAATTAAGCATACATATTTTTTGTTTAAAAATTGCTACAATTCTTTTGTCTGGTTAACGATACAGGCTTTTAAAAAGTTAGGCCTTTATTTGCAAAAGTTGTACATTCAAAATATATATATATATATATATATATATATATATATATATATATATATATTTATATATTGTTTTTGCAGGGGGCGGCGGGGGGGGGGTACCAGGGATCAAACTCAAGACCTTATACTTTCCAGGCAGCCGTCCGCACCACTGAGCTAAATCCCTGCCCTCAATATATTAACATAAAAATAACAAGATTAAAGAGTCAATATACAAATGTGCTTTAGCAAATTTGCCAGTTAATAAGACTATTCCTGAAATTCAAATCATGATCAGCAATACTAGCTCTCAAAAATTACCTACTTTTAAACCTAAGACCAAAAAGGACATTTAGCTTCATATCTTTTACTAAGCACCTGAAATACTGGCCTGGGTTAGATTCAGGAACAAGTCTTAATCTTGGGATTAGTCCTAAATGGATAAAAGTTTAAGGGGGAGAAAAAAAGGTGTTCATCTCGAAGGATGAAAGATCCCTGGTTGCTTTCAGATGACAAATACACATCTACAAGTTATTACTCAGTAGTTATTAAATCATTCAACAAATACTTGAGAGCCTAATGTGCTTCAGTTGTTAGATACTACAGACAAGATTTATAAAAAATGCTCAAAGGTAGGCACAGCGGTGTTCACCTGTAATCCCAGCTACCTGGCAGGCTGAGGCAGGAGAATGGCAAACTCAAGAGCAGCTTGGGCAACATAAAAAAGACTGTATCTCTTTTTTAAAAAGTTCACAACTTATGTTATAATTCCACAGTAACATATAGTTTAGATGTGACTCAATGGCACTCATTTAAGGAAGTTAAAAGGTTAGTGAGGGTCATTTCAATGTCTCAACTTAAAATTGACCAAATTATAATGGTGACTATTTAACCTTGTATAGCTTATTATTTTCTTCATAAATTATATGTTTAATTTTTTCCAAGTGAATAATTATGGAACTCTAACATTTTTAGAGGTATAAAATGCTAAAAGTTATGCTAATCCACAAAAACTAAAATTCACCAAAATAAACCCTACTGCATGAAAACTGTATTTCACTGATTCTAAAACGCACTTTTGGGCCAGGGATGTAGCTCAGTGGCACCGCACCTGCCTGGCAAGTGCAAGGTCTGAGAGTTCAATCCCTGGTACTGGCGGGGGAGTTCAATCCCTGGTACTTTTCCCTCAGTATCTCTGAAGTTGTGCTATACCTTGTAATTGCTTATGATTACAACTGGAAGTGGCCTTTTCCCTCTTGGTGGCACATAAAACTGCGTGTCATGATCATACCTTAACAGTTGATG